CCCACCTCCGCCCCCCCCCCCCCCCCCCCCCCAACAAAAACAAAGAAGAAGATGAAAACGAATACTGTAACTGATTACACGGTAATCCTGAACACACACACACAGAGCAAAAATGACATTCTTAATTGTATACTGAATTGAAAGCAAAAATAAACAACAAAATCTAACTAATTACTGTTTGCTGCTATATGTATTCAAATAGGACTTGTTTAAAGCCAGAAACCTAGAAAATTCTGGATACAAGCACTAGTTGTCTTTACAAGTACATATTTAAAAGCCCAAATAAAATTGCTGTTCAAAAACACACCTTTGGTGAAACACAATTACTTTCCTCACAAAACTGTATGTAAACTGATCAACTAGACTATTATGAGGACCAGGGTCAAACATATCATAATATCATTGACTATGTCAAACCAAGTCTATTAGTACTGTTTCTCCTTCTTTATCTTGGGTTAAGGTATATGACCAAATCTTCTCCTGTCATTTAATGCTCTATGTGTGTATGCATGTGATCACTATACAACAATACAAGTATGTTGTACCAAGGAACAAGTAATCTCACAGTACATATTAATACAAAGAAATATTTTTCCACTGACAATAATGAACAGTCTCCATTGTCTTTAGTCTATTTCCTGAACCGATACAAAAGGAAGAGTGTAATAGTATCTTGGTAAATTTTGCTGTGCATGTGATCTGTCAACATGATATTTATGATCAGTTCCAGCAGGCTGTGAAAGCGCAGCTCAAGTAAGAATTTTTTCTTATGCATCATTTATATAACTTAAAATTGTGCAGTTGTAGCCAAATGTACTCCTATACTCTCCAACAGCATATGTAGTACATTACACTTACTGTAAATATCAGTTGAATCACAAAAGCACTACCCAGAAAACTTGTCTGAATCTCAACTTAAAGGACACACATAATTAAAGAGTATTTTTGGCTTTATTTACCAAATTTTCCTTTGCCAATCTATAATGGGATAACTGTGATTCACATCAACATTAAAGGGAGACCATATATTTCCTCATGCAGCTGATTCATCCAGCTTTTAAAGGGGGGACGAACAGTAAAGACATACAGACTGTTTCTTTAAAACAAACAAACAAACAAATTCTAACCTTTAGAATCTGAAAACAAAGATTTTTAATAAGAAGGATTCCTAAGATACCAATACATTACTCTTAAGGAAAAATAACTAGGTTTAATCCAGTACATTTATGATCCATTTTTCCTCTCTCCTTGGTTGTATCCGTTTTTGCGCAGTTTGCATGGTTAAAGCACTCTTTTATACCAGCATAGGCAGCAGTACATAAACATAAAATGGGAAAACTTTATCCAGATTACTCACTTGATAATTGTGTTTTTGACTGCAACTTCTTCTTCATAAAAAGTTTCTCCTTTTTTAAAAAGATAACAGGATAAACAGAACATTTTTCATGGGGAAAATGGAAACAAAATTAATTCCCCTCAAATATTTGTGCATGTATCCTGTATTATCTTAGTATTATAATGTACAGATTAAAAAAAAATCTAGAAAATACAATTTTTTTTAAATATACACTTCCCATGAAATTGTGTTTGTTGATATTTGAGAGATCTTATATGTGTGAACCTTTCATTACTGAAGCAACAAGACTTCTGAGTCAATTAAAAAGATGGAACATGTAAGCACTTCAAGTAAAAAAAAAAAAGATGTATATTTTAAGTTTAATATTTCATATGTATATTAATGTAACACTGACCTTTCATTAAAGAACATTTCTGCAAGGCAGCTGATTTTTGGTTTACAACCTGCATTTTTTACTGCATGGGATTATCGTTGACTTTTTCCTTTAAAAAATTCAACTGATTTGAGTTCACTGAATTGAGAGTAATATACAAATTCTAGTGTAAAACACCACAGAAGTCTACTTTATACATAAAATGGTGCAGGCACAATTTACTTTTCATGAAAACTGCCTTGTTCTAATGTCACAGAGACACTGAGTATCAAAAGCCTCCACTTTAAATATTGTTTTCAAGAGATAATAACTGAAGTCTGTTTGGGTTTTTGGGTTCTTTTTTAATTGAACTGACACAAAGATCTAACTTTCATGAAGAGTCATTGAATGAATGATTGATATGGAAGGGCACTACATCATTCTCTTCCATGCAACTCATATTGACAGCTTCTGACTGACAACTTGCTGTCAGGTGGAGAAGTGTGTCACCTATTAATATCCTATAAAAGATCACAGGCAGTAATTTATCTTCTGCCAAACCTCTTGGAGAAGAATCATAACTGACTACCTTTACCATGACCTTGAAAATGGAATGACAATATCAGCTAGTAGGCAGGAGAGAAATTTGAAAATAACAGGTTAACTCCTGAACCACTTCAGCAAACAGCTCCTTCAAAACTGTATTTCTACTGTCTTTTACACAGTTCAAACACAGAGAACTTCAGTTTCAAATTATCTGAGATTCACTTACTCAAATATAGTAAAAAATTTTAAACCTAACATGAATCACATAGTCTTTTCAATTTACCATGTAGCTAGAGAGTTTACACACATTTGACACAAGATATTCTTTAATGTGTGCTTAACTGATCTTGAAAAATTCTAAATGCATCACATTGCTGGTGACTCTTCTGCATTGCATAACAATAGGTTCTTCTTACTCACTGTGCGGAGTCTTTACATACTCAAGGATTTAGTTCAGGCTTGAGTTGTAAAACACAGCTTTAAAGTGGGTGAGAGAGCAAGTTTCAACTAATCTGACTTTGTGCTTCACACATGGGTCTTCTAACTTTTTTCCTGCAATTTTGTTCTAAATATTTGCTGCACTGAAACTTCCTTGGGTGGTTTTGTTTGCTGTTCTGTGCATGGATGTCAATCTAAGACCACTGCAGCAGAACAGGCTCTGAATTTGTTGGCCTGCAGTTGTCAAATCAAACTGAGATTTCAAGAATGATTATATCCAGAAAACGAGATGGGAAAATGACATGACAGGGCTCCATTTTACTTTTTCACAGAAGATTCTAAATTAGCCTTTAATATGTTGGATAAGTACGACCTTTTGGAACAACTTTTTTTTTGCTAGATGTGAAATTATCCTCACCTTCTGTCATAAAGTACACATATTTAACCTGTTAGACTACAACACTCTGTACCAGTGAAGGTGCTATGATTCACAGCAGCTGACTATGACAGCAGATATAGCTGGCTTTGCCTGAGCTGGGCAAACACCGTGTTGTGTTAAAACTGGATTCTGAATTGTTTCTGTAATCCCCAAAATCATATAAATTCCATCTAATTCACCCATAATACTGAAATAGTCTGCAAAGATCTATTTGAAATAGATATAGGGGTAAAATATATTACTTATTACAAGGATAATATCTGATTCAGTAAGATAATACATCTGATTTAATAAGATTTATTGAATGAGAATATGTGATATTCACATAGTCACAGTGCACCAGAGTTACAGTTATAATGAAAGAAAACAAAAAATTGGAGTATATAACCTGAAAATATATTTTCAGCCCTATTTGTAACAGTGTGTTGATACAGGCAGATGCAAAGGTAGCTTTTCTTCTCCTGTAACTCTCTTTTTACTAAAAACATTCTTCATATTCAACATCCCCACAGTGGAAAAATTCATTCGATGCTTATTCCCCATGGCTTCTGCCTATACTTCCAGATTAGATCACCAATTAGACAGTGCTCTTTATGACTAGACTGGCTGACTGCACTTCATTAATCCTTGTTCCTGCAGAAGGAAAAGGTAAGCATTTGCTTACTTTTATCAAACCCAAACTTTTTTCTACAAGCTGGATTTCCTTTTGTTCTGACCGCTAACAGTGCCTAAATCCTTGTTAGCGTAAATGTATGCATGAATTAATATTTCTGTCGTACTCTTTTAAAAGACAAACTTAAAACCACAAATCTCATATTTTCAAAATTTTTCAAAGTCAGAAAAGAAAACTCCAGACCACTTGGGGCTAACTTATCAAAATCAGAAAATGTATTGAAAATTTAATGAAAAAAAGAAAAACAGAATTAAAATATGGAAAACCTGACTCACTTTGGAAGATATTAAAAGTGGGACATGTTTCTACTATCTGCATTTGTGAAATAATTCTTCCATTCAAATAGCCAAAATACATTTGACATCTCTAATTTCATGCCTGCCTATTTTATTCTTTAAATGCTTAAGGTACACAATTCATAATGCTTTTATTTCCTTTGTATATAACCTTTTATTCTTCCCTTCAAAAAGTATAGTCCCATAAGCATGAGGGGAAAAAAAAAAAATTCTCACCTGCTACAGTATATATTCACTACTAAATCCCTCTCCCCTTCAGAAATTTGGAATCTAGTTTACAGATCTACTTTTTAGAAATGTTCCATTTACAATGCAGTCTCTGTCATTCATCACAGAGCTAGCTAGTACCTTAATTATATTTAAATTATGTAAATTGCTAAAATCTTTAATTTTCAGATGACCTTAAGTTACATGAATAAATATGTTAGCTCTTCTGTTCAAAAGGAACCTCTCAGCAGAGGGCTGAGAAAAAACAATGAAGATCCAGTACTGTTGTTACGGCTTGTAAATTACTACCAATTTTTAATATATGTGCACATATATATCATGTGTATACAAAGATCCACAAACTCTTCCCTATAATTTTTATTTCGCTGTGAACTATAAAGAATCTTCTTGTAGGATTCATAAAAACACTTGATTTCAGAACTAGAACTCTATTACAAGGTGCCACCTGCCTGATCTTAAGACCTAGTGATATATGGAAAAACTCTAGAACACAGCCTGATAGACTAGATGAAAATAAATTTGAATATGTGCTGTGACAGGGTTTCAAGGACTAAAATAGAATAGCTAAAAATAAAATACAAAATTTATTAACTGTGATCACAAAATTTTGAATATTATGGCTATGCAATCTATGACTGAAAAAATACAACTGTCTGAAAATTGTTCAAGATCATCCTCACCACAGCTTTTAAATAAAAATATGTTTGTAAGCACATGCTGTTTTCCAGAAGTTATATTCCATTAAGTTGTTGAGGATTTTTTTAATATTATTATTAATTGAGATCAGGTATCCAAAATTGTCAGATATTATGTAACACAGAGTGGTACTTCTGTTTTGTTAATTTCTGATAGGTTAAAAAAGGTCTTTGGCATTTTCAAAATTTGGATTCTTTGTACAGCTGGTCATTAAAGACGTGCTGAAGACACGAGTGACCACCACACGGAACTTCAGATGAAATAATGAGCTTTCATTTGACTTTTAAATAATACTGTAATGTCTAGAGAGTGTTCTCATAGGTTTGCAATATTACACACTTGCTCCTGGGGAAAATTAATTAGAATGAACATACCCTGAGCTTACCTGCCCACTTAAAATTAGGGTCAGCAACTAAATTAGTATTTGGTTTGTTTGTTTTGTCAAACAATTTGAATTGTTTTCATGCACTAGATCTGACACTTGTAATTGTATATATTCTTCTCCAGTGTCGTTTCTGAGCATTGAATATTGTATTCTCTCTCTTTCAATCCACCTATGAACAAATGAAAACAGTAGTACACATATGCTTGTCTAAGGAAGAACAAAACCCATACCAACTCTCCAAAAACCAGACCAAAGTATGTATAACTGCACACAGATATATGCTGTGAAGAAATTGTAAGAAGACTTGAAAAATAAAAAGTGTGATTATTATATACATCGTAAGAAGTCATAAAACTGACAATATGACTGAGAAATAACTAGAAAAGAGAATAATATTAGCAAGTCCATTGCCTGAACTCTGAAGAACTTATAAACGTAATAAAGGTAATAGATAAAATAAACTTACATAGATTAAAAAAAATATTGTTATAATTGTTATATATATAAAACTATAAATACATTCATATTATTTTATATATATGTAGTATAAAAGGTCTATATACGAAAAAGCAGTGTTGTTGAAGACTCAAGCTTCATCCTATATTTATTGTTCACACAATTAACCATTAAAACATGAATGATGGCTGATGATTTTTAGTTTAATGATAAAATGTATTAAGAACCAGTTTAGGTGAATTAGTCTGGTCTTTACAAAGTCAGGATTGTTTTAACTCTGGTATACCTGTGCAGAGTGATTACCGGTGTGCACAACTTAGCTGGCTACTTTATTGTATTACCTAGACAAAAGAAGTCTGTATGACAAATCAAGGGTTGAGTCAAGCATATGGCTAACGGAGGGTTCAGGAAGACTGCTCGCTGAAGGAAGTGTCATGACAAGAATGCTTTGGAGAAATTGTGGCTTCCAGAAACCTGGTGGCCCTTCACTTAGGAGTGTTAGATCTCTGACTGCTGCTTGCAACCTTGTTGCCTCTTAACAGCCACTCCGCTACAAATTGCTAAAGTCAGTAGACTAGTCATAGACTGGTGCACTGGAGTTGACAGGTATGATCATAGAATCACAGAATGGTTTGGGTTGGAAGGGACCTTAAAGACCATCTAGTTCCAACCCCCCTGCCATGGGCAGGGACACCTTCCACTAGACCAGGTTGCTCAAAGCCTCATCCAGCCTGGCCTTGAAGACATCCAGGGATGGGGCATCCACCACTTCCTTATATCTAATCTAAGTCTACCAGCTTTCAGTTTAAAGCCATTGCCCCTTGTCCTGTCACTACATGCCCTTGAAAAATGTCATTCTCCAGCTTTCTTGAACTATATAATGTCAGAATGAGTGTGAAAGCAAATATTGATTTTGTTGCTCACGTTAATATATGAGAGAGGTCAGTTCAGTGAATATTAATGTAATTATTCCTATCCCCAGAAGCAATTTTTATGGTCATATACTTTGCATGTGCATTCACTATAGGGCACAGTTAAGATTGCCTGAATGTCCTAATAGCTTCTCAATACCTTAATGTGCTTGGATATTCTTTAATTTCACATTGACTCTGAATTGTCTGGGTTATAATTCTCACTATAATTGCAGCATTCCTGTAACAAAGTTTATTGCAAATTATGAATATATTCTATTAACCTTCATTTCAATTTAACATCACTTTTGTCTGGAAACTACACAGAACTGAGGCCAAGTGCCCAGCTGACGTAAAGCCACTTACCTCCAGCTGAGTCAACAAAGCTACGCTGACTTAGATGACACATTGTTTTCCCAGTTCTAAACACTGACTAAGCTATGTGATAAAACTGTGCACATTATGAATATCAATTAACTTAAAAGTGTTACTATTTACTAGCACTGATTTCCAATCATGAACTCACCTGTTTTGGGGCCACCATTTTATTGCAATTACACTGAAATCAATGAAACATTACGAGACATCCAAAACTGTATGAATCATTACAAGCACATTATATACAGGTAAATCATGGAGGAATCTGCCAACATACAGTTAATGTACTCAAGAGTCTTTTAAAATCACCAAATGCTTAGTCACAAAGCAAATCATGTCTCAACAATTTTCAAAGATGGGTTTGTGTGTGTATTTGTAGTAAACAAAGTACTTCACTGTTGAATTAGTTAGAATGTAGATGAGAAGGCATCTTTATATCTATCACCATTGCCAAGGGGAAATAAAGATGCTTCAGTTTGTTTATAAATACATGAGAATGTTGATTGTTGGGAAGATTTGCTCACTTTAAGAAATTTGATATAAAAACCATTTTGTTTTCATATGATGAGTAGATGTGGTTATACCAAATATTTGTAATTATAGAAATCATAGAAAAATAGCAGTAGGAGATTAAGTTTTTAGATAAACATTTTTTATTGCTAATACTCTTGATGACTACTGCATGCAGTCATTAAGTCTAGAAAATTTAACCTCTGATTCTTTCGTATAAGCTTTCATTCATCAATGGCACCATATGAATGTATTCACAGTAACTACCTCGTACTTACTTTTCAGAATAGTAATCAAGGGAATAATTATGTCTTAGAACATGTTTTTACTTTCAATTAACTGTTTTGAGAAACAGTGCAACCTGTTTCAAAAGTGACCAAAAAAAAAATTACTTTGGCATATTTTTCAAGAATTGGCTGAATTTTTTTGCTCCAAATATACTGGTTTTAATTTCAGATTATACACATATATGCTTTCATGATTTGATCCCATTAAAAGTTCTGTGGTGACAACTATACCAAAGTACCTAACTATGCAAAAACTGAAGAATGATTTAGGATGATTTTGTACATCCAGTGTTTATGTTACCCAATCTGATGGCTATTAAAATAGCTTTCAAAATCACATTTATTTTCTAATTTCTGTAAAGCAAATATTTTCAAAATTAATCTGGCATAAATGTGACTGCCTCTAAAAGACAGTATCTTAAAAATATTGCCTTATGAATGCTATTTAATTGATGTATCAAATCAGTGATGAAGTCCAGTTTTCTATTCCAGAAAAGTAATGGATAATGAGTCTGCATTGTGCATTCACAAAATTAACCCACACCACAAAGGATTTTTTTATATGTCAAGTTACATAAAATACTCATGAATGAAAGTCCTAAAAAAGTTAGAGGTTTTTAATTTTTTTTTTTTTTGAAGCACGAGAACATAAAATTATGACATATCTGATAGAAAAAAAAAAGGTCACTTTCACTAAAAATATTGACTTCAGTCACCTTTTGAAGGACAAAAAAAAAGGACGATAATACTTAATGACAGATTCCTAGTGTCCACCAGAATTTTTCTACTTTTTCAGAAGCATCGTCATTGTGAAATGCCAGCATTAACTTCAACACAGTTAGAAACCTACCTTCCTATAAACTGCATGGCTTCCTTTGTCAGTCTCTGAGTAAGGTTCTCATAGGACAGCGGCTGCTGGATAATCTCATGGCCCCTCATTAAGAAGCAGTTCAAGTGTCGAAAATGAGAAAAGAAAAAAATTTTTTTTGGGAAAGAGCTGTTATTAGCAAGCAGTAACCCAAAGCTTGGAAAGGTACTTTGAGGAGGCCAATGTACTGCACTATCACCAAAGAGACCAGGGTGATTCCAGTGATTTGGATTGGGATGACAAGGGATTTCTGAACTCCTTTTAAAAATACGCTGCCTTGTCCAGGTTTGCAGTCTCTCAAATTGGTCACAGTAAGCCCATAAAAGTAATCAAAACCATGACTGAGGGGGTGGTGACAGAAGTCATTACTGCTTTCACAGTTCATTCCAAGATGCCACTTTCCTACAAAGAGAGAAGGACAGGGAGTATTTTTGTAGTTAAACTGTCAAACTTATAATGTGTGCTATTCCAAACATGAACCTGTCACTATCTGACTGGTACTCCCCCGCCCTAGCATTTATTGTGTGTATCCCTATTTTCTACCTCCTCTTTCTTTATGCCTTTATCAATGACTTTGTTTCAAGTCTGCCTTTTTGTTTTGGTTGGCACAGCTCCTGATGGAGACCATTAAGTTCTGAGTGGGCTAGCAGGTCACTGAAGAGCAACAGAGCACAAGCAGACATCTAACTCCAAAACTGAAGGCTTTGTGAATGTGTAGTTAAGAAGCCATATGAAAATACCATTCTGTAGCAACTACTACCTTCTTAACTTGAGCCAATATGGATTTATGAAATATTTTTTCAGATTTTTTCTGGAAAATCATTCACATTTGACTACTTTAAAAATAAATAAAAGAAAAAACCAGTAACAAACAGGAAATAAATCAAGAACAGTGACATTATTAATGCATTTATTATTTAAATGATTAAAAAAATCTCTGAAAATGACACATTTTTTAATATATATTAAAAAACAACAGTAACAATTGAACAACCAAATAGTATCTCTCATAGCATTTTGTATCACTAGGAAAACATTCTAATTCTGCATTAATTTTGGACACTGACTGACACAAGACAACAGCAAGTCTGATTTGCATTACAGTGGTATAATCTATTTTCATGCTGATTACAGTAAGTATCTAGATAATTTATTCTATGACTCAGGTACAACCACTTACCATATGCTTATATGGTTATGCATCGTTTAGTGCAACAGACCTAACTGTTAGGCAGGCGTTATTTAAATTCAAATGCATAATTAAAAAAAAAAAAATCAAATTCAGTTAAGCCTATTGACAGAAATTATGGCTAGAGCTATGCTCTTTGGTCTCAGCATGGAAATGTGTTGAATATTTGACAAACAAAATGTGCCACCCCTGACAAAACAGATGAAAATATGTATTGTTGGGCCAAATATTATTTATTTTTTCTGAATCAGATATTTGAACATGACCAGCATAACTCAGGGCTTGTGATCTTAAAAGAAAGAAACAAAAAAACCGCTGCAAACCCAGTAAGTCCTAAACCCTATAACCTAGTGAAAGAAATTTGAAAGTTTGCTCTAGACACTTCAGGATACAGTAGAAAGTACATAAAAGGTAAAAAGCTTATACAGAATTGCCCTCTTTCCAGAATCATCCCAACTTTCACCCATCTGTAAGAAAGAGCCCCGATGTAGGCAGTCCTGAGCATCTCCTGAGTCTAGAGAGCAGCATATTCATCCTGCACTTCTGCCTTCGGAAATGACAAATGCAGGTACCAAGCAGGGGAAGATGGGTGAGAGTTCTGATTTTTTGTAATAGTACTTAGAAAATGGGTTCAATGTCATTATTTATCTTTCACAAACAACAGAACAAGCGTATGGGATGGGAATGCTGTGTGCCCGTCAGTAAAGGTGGAGAAAAAAATACCACAGAAATCTTGAGCCCAAATAAATGCTTAGTTGAGAGCAGTTCTTCTCATAAATCTCTTCATGGTCTTTGGTTACAAACACTTTCTGTACATCATAGAAGCAGGCATGAAAGCATTTTCAGGTCTGCTTTCTGTGCCAGTGAAATGAAGGGCTCTACAGCTTTCTCATCGCATCCAAAGTTTTCCCATTGACTGTCAGGTGTCACTTGAGGTGCTATTCTGCTTGCTGTGGGCAGAGTGGCTCTTGTCAGTACTTTTGACACAATCCAGTGAACATTATTGTGTCCGATTACAGAAACAGCAATGCAGACCACTGTACTGCATTTTTAGATATTATAATGGTGCCATAAAGTGCTAGCTAAGACTGCCACTCTGAATTTCATTCCCAGCAAGCAAAGACACAGATTCTGGGGAAAAAAAAAAAGCTTCAATGTTTTCCTTAGGTTTACATGACTGTCTTTATGGAATAATCATAAAGCCAGATGTGCAGCAAGGTGAGCATTAAAGAAATCTCATAAAGACATATAATCACAAGTATGTTATGTTAGAGCTTTAATTCTATTTTTCTTTCTGTTATCTATCAATCTTAAAACATTCATACATCAGTAAAAACATTTAAAAAAGAAACCCCCAAAAAATTAATATGTATTCAAGGTCATTTATTATGATATAAAGAAGTTTGTTTAAACTGGAACTCAATAAAAACAGACATTGCAAGCCCAGGCAGAAGAACTTTGCAACAAACAATTTAGGACAGGGAAAAATATAGGACCTATTTTTATCGAAAAGGTTTTAGCAAGCACAACAAATTGTTCAATGTCAAGATGAACTTGGGCCTCAAAAAGAGATTTGTCCAGAAGCAACTTAAGCCAAGCAAAGCAGACAGCAGGTTAGCTGGGAAAAGCTACAGAATCACTGTTTCAAATTGTATCGGCAGCTGTGACGGACAGACACAATTGCCATTCTCAAACCGCTGACAAGGTGGAGGGTTTTCATAGATCCTGCGCTACTCTCAAAAAAGTGATGACTGGGTCCACAGCATATGTTTTGTTTCATTCCTTGTGGCAATAACCCCTGCCTTGAGCTAGTGTTTAAACAGATTATTGTAATGTGCTTTATGCTCTGGGGCTCTTCTGAATGTGAGAGCAGTGCAAAATGCTCTCACCTCTTTGCCAAATGAAGCTTCAGAGTATGGACACTTCACACATGCATCAGATGCATTTCAGCAGATTCTACCAAGATTTTGAGTGAAATTTATGCTGTTAACTGTAAATTATGAGTACCTTAATAGTTTGAGACCTAGGGGTTTTTTCCCTCTCCTTCAGCCACAATTAAGATCTCTGCAGAGCAAAAGCAATGTAATGAAAGGCAAGTAGAAATTAGAGGCAAGTCCTATTCAGCCAAAAAAAATTAATTTGGAATTCAGTTTTTCAGAACTCAGAATGCTGGAGGGCTAAAAATAAAAATAAAAATTATTTCCCCTCTGCTTTTCCCTCAGACAGTTGAAAAGGGAGCAATGTGAAGACTGAGTTGTATATAACGATATATTTATTTTGGTATGATTTTGTGTTCTTCAGATCACTTATAAGATGCAAGAGGCAGAGCAAGACACAAAAAGAAATATATGTATATGAAATACATAGCGATAATATTAAATATACATGCATATATTGCTAATATGGTCAGATTTTAAGATGTTCTATTAATAACTGTTTATTAATCCCATTCCAAAGACTCTACCAATCTAGTATTGGAAATACCACTACTGTGATGTGTCCAAATATTACAATGTCTCATTATGGAGGAAAGATACAAGTCCCAGTTTCATAGAATCATAGAATCATAGAATGGTTAGGGTTGAAAGGGACCTTAAAGATCATCTAGTTCCAACCCCCCTGCCATGGGCAGGGACACCTTCCACTAGACCAGGTTGCTCAAAGCCACATCCAGCATGGCCTTGAAGACATCCAGGGATGGGGCATCCACAACATCTCTGGGCAACCTGTTCCAGTGCCTCACCACCCTCTCTGTGAAGAATTTCTTCCTGATATCTAATCTAAACCTCCCTGATTTCAATTTATACCCATTGCCCCTTGTCCTATCACTACAGGCTCTTGTAAAAAGCCCTCTCCCAGTACCCTTGTAGGCCCCCTTCAGATACTGGAAAGCTGCAATGAGGTCTCCTCGGCGCCTCCTCTTCTCCAGGCTGAACAAGCCCAGTTCTTGCAGCCTTTCATCATAGGAGAGGTGCTCCAGCCCTCTGATCATCTTCGTGGCCCTCCTCTGGCCTCGCTCCAAGTGGTCAACATCCTTCTGATATTGAGGGCTCCACAGCTGGATGCAGTACTCCAGGTGGGGTCTCACCAGAGCAGAGTAGAGGGGCAGTATCATTTATCCATTAGTATTTTAAACTTTGGAGATAGATAAGCTATATAGGTGGATTTTAAACTTCTCTGGATGCTAGACCACATACTGGATAACAGTAGTGTGGAAAAGTTGACCTTTAGTAATTAGAATAATATCCATCTACTTTTGCTGGAATTTTTGCATTATGAATAGCTATTTCCTACAAAACAACAACATTGAACCTTAACTGGTGAAATATTACATATTCAATGCATCTGCTTTTTTTGAGAAAATTTGGTGTTGTTGCAGATCTTCAGACTGTGTCTCTTCCTACCAGATCTATTGGATGTCACCTTCTTAGTGTTACAGGGAAAAACAATGAGGTAAAAAAGTGTCTACATAAAGCAGATTTATAGTTAAAATTTATTTAGGGATGTATCTAGCAAGAGAGAGAATATATTCAGGGGAAGGAAAAAACCTAAAAAAGAAAGGAAAATGCATTTAGGAAGAAAAAATGGTCCTTAGGGAGTAAAGGGGAGAAAAAAACTTGGCCAAAACCAGAAAAAACCCCAAAGTGATAGTAGAGGACTGAGGAACTGAAAGGTTTCAAATTACGCTCTTGCCAATCCATCACTGGTGAAATCTTTGACAATTAATTGTCTGGGAACTGCTGAGTTAGACTGAACCAAGCAAAGACTCCCTGACCTAGACCAATATGATGTGATATGAGCATCAGCAGAAGCAGAAAATGGGCTGGTTGGGAATCAGAGTCTGCCTTTCTAGTCTTCAAATCAACATAATTTTTCTCTGTCATTTACATATGCTTTATCCTTAATTTTAATGCACTTCTTGGTATGTGGAAGCCTTCATTATACTCTAAGGATATGGTAATATTACATCTTATGGTTTCATAGCTATCATTCAGGCCACTTGGAAAAACTGTTCATTAGGCATCATGGAGAGAACTTCCGGAGATCTAAGTGGCAAGCTGTCATGTTGCAGTGAAAGTAGTTTAAAAAAGCCCATTAACTAGATCAGCCCCAGAAAATCAGTTGTAGGACAGTGCTTGTTACAACCAGCAAAATTATTTTTTGCAGTCTTTAATTGAATATGGAGCAATAGGAATTAACTCCATGATGAACATAACAAATTACTAATGGCTTTATTGCACTATGGTTCAAATGCACCTGCACTACATATACTTCAGCTAAGATTTTCTGGTTTTCTGTTTTGAATTGGTGAGAACATCAAATTTTATACTTTCTAAGACTGGGGTATAGGTAAGTAGGACTTTCAGTTAAGAACATTAACACTGGTTATCTACAAAACTCAGATTTTTTTTAACACTGGTATGAATCGTTAGCCTTGCTATACAGCCTGATTTCTTTAAACAAAAGTTACTTCCAAAATCACAAGCTTTTCTTACATTTAAAAATATAATTCGGTTCGTCTGTAATCTAAATTAATGTAATAACATTCCAGTATGATGTCCTTTAGAAACTGTTTCCTGGCAATTCCAGTACAGGTATACATTATGATATTCATTCCAATTCTGTTTAATATTTAACTAGTGGGATTCCTTTCACCCATCACTGGGTATTTACATTGCAGTTAGTTGTCTGAACTATTTTTATAATGAGAGAGAAACATATTTTTATGTTAAACATCTACCACAGAATGAGAGAAATTTCCTAGAAATGCCCGATTCTGTCTGATGACTAAGAAGAGAATCCAGATGGTTAGCCCAGGTACTACATTATCTACTTTATGGGTATTTCAAAACTGGTGAAATGAATCCCAGCACTTGTACCCTGCGATCGATCCCTCGCTGTCTCTATGTTGCAATCAAAATCATATTTATACTGAAACCTTTTAAGTGTTTGACTAATCTTTAAATTGTGCACCATGTTTCTTCAGTACCTTGCACAATGAGACTATAACTACACAAGTGAATGAGACATACTTACCTGATCAGAGTTTCACATATGCATGGGAATGTGCTCAGCTTTTTGCCAGAAAAATAAACTCATAATGCTATGGGGGAAAAAAGCTTATTGCAGACCCTTAATAGCCTCTATGGAAAGTTAATGTTCTTTTGACTGAAATTAATAAAAAATAATGCTGTGCATGTATGCCATTTTACCTATTAGAGCTGTTGCATAACCTCTCTGCTTCAGGAGTTTGGAAAAGGTTATTTCTTCAGAAGGAAGTCCCCCAGAAGAGGCAGAAAATAAGAAGACACCAACTCGTGAGAAGGCAGCCATTCCTAAATACAATGAAAGTGAATGAGACTTGGGTGACATACTGAAACTATCTCCATTGATTATTTCCACATGCACCTTTTTGTTTTAGGGTATCACTTAAATGATGTATTTCTACCAGACACTAAATGTTGCAAGAGGCAGATACATTCATCCGTACAGATGATCAAGGTCTTTTCTGTACTGGCACCAGAAACTGAGAAATGAAGAAAAAATTGTCTGCTTATAACTGTTAGGCCAGCCATCACATAAACAGCTGAAGCCCCTTCTGTAGATACTCTAAGGCATAACCGATCTGAGAGAAGCTGAGTTTGCATAATTTTTCTTTTTTGTACATGGGGAAGGAATGGAGCTGAGCACTGAGCGACATCACTCCCATGTTCTACTCCCATAACTTCCACTTTGCTCATACATGGTTTTCTACAAGCCTCTAAGGTTTTTTGAGAGAAAGCAGTTGAAATAGGGCAGCGTTACAGCTGGGCATGTAAATATCATGACATCAAAAAGAGCAAGGAGAGTCTGATTCTGGAAATAGTGTCTGGGGCACTCAGCTTTAATGGGACCAGTGCTCTGATGGCATGAAAACACATGATTCCATGCACACAGAGTTCATTAAAGCAGCAACAGGTATCAGCTAACAAGACAACATCTAAATAAGGCACAGGAATTTCTGCATACTGAGAGTCTGAGGAACACAAACTTGAGCTTATAAACAACTCTCAGGATGAGGAACTTGAGAGCTCAGGTTCATGAAAATTAGATTACTAGGATTCCAGATGAGAGCTGGCTCTGAGTATAGACAGACAGAACACAGAATATCTATGCAAATCTGTGCAGATGTATCTCCAGGAAGTCTGAATTATGCAACTGGATGATTACAGTGCCAAAGTTACATGACTGATCTAGACAACCAGAATCTCCCCTCAGGTATCCCTCGTGGTTAGATGAGAAAAAGACTCGTTAGGCTGGTTTCCTAAAGAGAGCTTAAGAGAGCTCTTCAAATGTCGACTTCAGTGTTTCACCCCAACTAGCTTTATTGGTCAACAGTTTACATAGTTTTAGTCATATATACATATCTATATTTATTTTTGTATACTTCAATCTTGTAACTGATATCAGTGTAATTCCATTAAGTTACCAGAATGAAAGTATAGAGCCATGACTTTTTTTAGATCGTTACCTTCATCTGAGTTTGTGTCTCATCAAATTCTACATTTTGGAATATTTTTCTTCAGCTCTATTAGCAAGAATTTTAAATTTCTAACATTTTTTTCCACACCATGTTTATAGTATCTTCTATAATAATCCTTTACTGTTCTTCACCAATGTTCGGAGGTAGTCCATATATAGCAATTTGATAACTTAATTAAAACAAAGTTCAATTTTTGCACCTACATGGAAATTATTAGATATGACAGAGAGCAGATCAGTTAAGAGAAAAAAATCAGTTCAAATATTAATTTTTTAGAAATAAGAACTGAGATCATAATGGAAAGTGACCTGTGGCTTTACCTACAGTAAATATTAATAGCCATATAGCTGTAACAGGTATATAAAATTTTCCTGTGCAGCTGAATGTAGCGGAAAATTTAGCAAGTTATATTAGCTGGCACTTTTGCAGAAGCTTGTTACTTGATTTGAATGAGCACGAACGTATCAAGTAGGCTCCAGAGTCTTGCTTTGCTTTCATTCCCAGAAGCAAGGACAGGATGTTTTATCACTAATGAACAAGTGATCTGATTAATGTATAATGATCCTTGCTAAAAATGATGTTAAGGGAATGTTAAAGTTTCATGGCTAAGCACTGAGCGTCTCAGTCCCAGCACACTAAAATAAACAGACTGAATCTTCGCTGACTCCAATGGGCTTTGGATCAGGTACTTTAAAAGCAAGAGAAGTTATTAAATGCATGTATCCATAGGATACTTAACACTGTGTATGGGTAGATATGGAACAAAAACACTTAGAAAGAAGGGAGGTTTTTTGCTTTTTTCTTCACGGTTTTAAGGGCTGCTGGAATACTTTAATGAACTGTCCTGTCCCCTCCTCTGCAAAAAACCCCAAACCCATAACAATTTGTCTAAACCAAAAGGTTTTGTAGAAACAGAAATTCCCAAGCAGAAAATTTAAATGGGACTCTCCCATTATGTCTTTCTAGATCCATGTCTGTGATGACCAACACTCATCTGCCCACCAACATCCTGGGAGCAGCCTGAATGCAACTGGGGAGGCAGGCAAAGAGCCCAGGGTCATTCTGACAGGGGAGGTAGTCAATGGAATTTGTCTCCTCTTTACACTAAATAACCATGATCAGATTTTTTTCCTCAGTATTTTAAAAGAATCTTTTTCTTGATAAAAAAGCTTTAATTTTGTGTTAACTCTTCAGAAATGTGATTTTTTTCTACATATATGGAAGATTTCAAATTTTGACCAACTGCTGAGCTTGATTAGTCACTGAAATTATTATCTAACCCAGTAATGACAAATATAACAAGAAAGGCCACAGGAAAAAAATGTATACAGTTTACTGCAAATAAAATATGATATTTATATGTAAATAAAGTAATGGGTGTTTACCTGATCTGATAGGATATCGCCCTGTCAGGAAAGCTGCCCTGCTTGGAGTACAAAGTGGGGATGCTGCTATATGCTGGGTAAGCGTCACTCCTTTCTCTGCTAGCCTGTCAATATTAGGGGTTCTAGAAAAAAATAAGCATGGAAAAAAAGAAAGAACACATAAAGATGATTAATAGGAAAGGTGCATGGTGAGATCGAGGCATGCGAGGCAAAACCTATCAGGAAAATCAAGTTAAGATTGACTATTTGCAAATTATCAAAACCTTGGTGGTCTTGCAATTCTAAACATTATTGTGTCAAAAATTTTTACATTAGGTGCCAACACTGAACTGAAAAATTGTGGCATTGTGCCAAAAAGCTTTTTTCCCCACTTCCATCTACTCTTCATGGCCCATACTAAACTGTGACACCTGGACGTATTGTGTTGCAACCCTTTATAATACCTTTCTTCACCCAGAACTGTAACTTTGCTACTTACATGATCTTTCTGCTTCAGCAATGGGGAGAGGAGAGACTGGATAAAGGTTTTGCTTCCTTACTCCTTACTTGGTTTCACTTCTGTCTTTCCCCAGCAAAAGTTTTTTGGGGTAGGGGTAATGTGTGGTGGTATCAATTATTAGGGGAGATTCAAACAGTTATGACTCTGTGTTAGACTCTATATGAATGATGTTTACATGTCTTGACATGACTATGTCTGCAATGTTAGACCCAGGAGCACATCCACATTTTCATATCTGTATAGGAAACTTGGCTGTTACCTGGCTCATCATGCAGATGAAAATTTGAAAATTTCTTCCTGCAAGAAGAAATCCTATGCCCTTGGTTCTACAGAAAAAAAAAAAAAAAAACTAGGAATGCAGACTGGCCAGGAGCTGCAGCATGTTCTAATAGATCCCTGACCTAGGAGAATAATGACTATGGCCTCGAGGCACACTAGTGCTCCCATTATCTAAGTCTGAACAGTCAGAAACATTAATTTTCCTACAGAATACTTTGTTAGCTATAACATCACATACTGATAACAAGCATTATGGTGAAATTTCTTCATAGGCCAAAAGTGTAATTCTGAATTCTCACATTAGAGAAGATGGATATTGGAGCACCTCTGGTCCTTGTGAAATAAGTGGTCCAAGCATCAGTGTTGTATATACTTTTTTCCTGTTTAAAACTAGAAGCTGTAACTTGAGTTCTTTTTTTTTTGAGTTTGAGTTACGAGGAGTTTTTACTCCTAACTAACGTCAGCAGGACCAAGAGTATTTAACATTTGACAGGATGGTGCTTTTAGTCTTAATGTTTTATTTTGTTTAGACAAGCATTATACCTAATCTGGCAGTAACTACTATAGTGAGGACCACTGCTACATTACTCAGGTATGTTAACATTTGTTTTAATGAATTGACTACAGTATGAAGACAAATGAAGGAAAAAAGCAATTTTTCACCCAACTGATTGGTGATAAGCTCCTCTCAAATCATGAGTGCTTCAAATTCATAGTATTAGCATCACTAATATTTTAAAAGAAAATTGTTGATTATACTTTGCTCCTCTAGACCTAACCTTACTTGCTCAGTTGCTCAATACTCTTTTTATAATGCAACTTTTCAGTGGGATAAATACACCAGATAAGTCTTCTTTTCTTATTAAGTAAAGAAAACAAGGATAGAATATTCTATTCTCTGGAGAGTTTATTAAGTGGTTACTTATAAAGAACCTAATAAAATCTCTGAATTATTTGGGGGTTTTAACTTTACAAAACCATATAAAATCATGACTCCCCCAGATGTATCAACATACCTTAAGGTTCTGTTCCCGTAACATCCCAGGTCTCCAATACCAAGATCATCAGCCATCAGTAAAATGACATTGGGATTTGAAGCACTGTGTGTTTTGACACTGTTTATGGCACACTGCCAAATTATCAGGAATAAAAGGAATCTCATCTTCTTCCTGGTGTTTAAGAACAGGTGGAAAACATAATGGAGAGACTATTTTTTTTAATTTCAATGTTAATGTAATCTACTCTTATTATTGCCCTGGAGTGCATAGTAGGAAGAAAATTAGATTGTATATTTTTATTTGTCTTTTCTTTTTCAAGAGAGTTTTTTAATTGTTATTTTCCCTCTCATATTTCTTAAAAATAAAGCTACATCTTTTGGTATAAAGCTAATTTTTCCTTCCACCCCTTTACATAGATGAAGCCTAAGATGAACAGTTACAACCTCAGTGATGATACTTTTGCATACATAGATGCACTCTACAGCAATAAATCATCAGAGCAAAGATGCTTTTTTTAAATGTGATTTGAGGAACACAGAAACATTTAGGACCAAAACTTTCAAGGTTCATTGCAGGAAAAAATGTCATCAATTCTGTTACTGAAGTAAATGACTGAATTTCTCTTTAACAAGGGAAAAAAATAAAACCGATCTTCAGTTTCTTGACAGCAATAAGTATTATGGAAAAGAGTGTGAAGAGATGCATCATCTAATTATTGAAAGGAATGTTTTCAGCTCTTCACAAATGTTTTAAATATCAGGGCCTATAGCAAAATTATGTCAAAATATTTGATATCGTATCACAATGTTGTATAAACAATGCTCGTAATACATCCAACTTAAAACTACATACCATTATATGCTTTTATGATAAAAAACAGTTTATTTGCAGATGTGCATGTTATGAATGCTATTTTACCTAAACAGGGACCTGTTATATCTCTGTTTTAAACTGCATTGACCATGCCCTGGCTGAAATAGAGTGCCTGTAGGCTGTGGTGGACTGTGCCAGGTATACACAGCAAAACATAAGAGAGAGTCTCTCTCTTTTGCCCCTAGTAATGTTCCCATCTTTTCTGGATGCGGTCAGCCTTTTCCAAATGCGGATGAGTCATGAGTCACACCTGCACTCTAGATTATGCTGGGATGAAAAGGAAAGCAAAGCAAACGAGGGTGAGGTAGAAATTTGAAAGTGGCGGAGTACAAGAATTTCCAGAGAGAATGGGACAGCAGGTCAAGAAAGAAAGAAAAAAAAAATCATAAATCAGTGTGTTATGGTAGATAAAAGTAACTGGAGAGAAGATAAAGAAGCCAGAACTGGAAGAGCTGGTACAAAGAGACTAGACATCAAGGGAGACAGATTCATAAATCAGTGAGGTGTGGTGAGTAAGGATAGCTGTAGAGAAGATGAAGTAGTCAGAACCAGAAGAGCTTTCACTGACTTGAATAAAGAGCAAGAAGAGGAACTTCAGACCTAACTGGAATGAGAGTTGCAGGTTGAAATGAGAAATGGCAGAGGGTTTAAGAAACTGGAAGGAGTAGTACAACAGTAGATAGGAAAACAAATTGCGGATAAGAGGTGAGAGATCTGGGAGTGTCTGGGATGAAAGAGCAGAGCAGTTGTGATTAAGGCAGATGAAGAGAACTGTTTGTAAGTAGCCTGGGCAGATAAGACTTGGGACTGACACAAGTGAGAAGAGATCAAAATAGTGGGGATCAACCAACACAGACTGGAACTTCTGATTCCCAACCTTCATTACTGCCATTCTGTCAGAAAGCATAGGTGTAAAGGGGATTTTAACCCTTTTAGTGCTTGTTCACATACATATAAAAACACTAATAAATATGTTAGCCATTTTTGTACTGCTTAATGTATACTTTATAACCCATTGACCTCACTTTGGTGACAACATTTCTGTTTTAGACTTCAGCTGGGAACATTTAAAGATCCCAGACATCACTGTGGCAACAGATTGTTAGTGGTTTACTCCATGTGTAGCAACCTACTTAGTTTCAGACATGGAAAATACATACACAAACATTAAGACTAGAACAGTCTGCTTGATGAGATGCATCTAACCAACCCTTCATCACATTACCATACTAATGAAGCTGTGTAGCACCTGACACAGTTCAGACTTCTAATCTGTGCAGTAGATTTACCTTTCTTCCCTGAAAGGATAAAGAAGCGCGAATTGCTTCCCACACACTGCAAGAGAACTTAACACACCGACCCCACAGGATAGGAACAACCTGCTGATGTATCTTATGTTCCTACTCCACTGTTCAGACTGCAAGGGTGTCAAGGCCATTGGCAACAGAGACATTGAAAAGGGTGGCATATATGTTGGTGACATTATATATCGATGTGAAAGGATGCTCACAGGACCTGCACATTTATTTCACAGAATTACTAAGTGCTCTCAGTTTTGCTGTAGGCTTCACACTGTCTGAATAACACCAAGAAATATTTACTCCTGCCACTAGAGGTGATTCTCACCTCTACTTTGCTTTTGTGAGACCCCACCTGGAGTGCTGCATCCAGCTGTGGAGCCCTCAACATCAGAAGGATATAGACCGGTTGGAACGAGTCCGGAGGAGGTCACGCAGATGCTACGAGGGCTGGAGCACCTCTGCTATGGGGACAGGCTGAGAGAGTTGGGCTTGTTCAGCCTGGAGAATGTTGGGCTTGTTCATCCTGTATTTCTCATTTTGCAAATCAACAAAAAACAGGTTATTGAAAGATTTCTCTGATACAATATTGCTGTATACTCCTCCACTCTAAAGGAGTATCTGTAGACACTCTCACACGTTGGACTATTTGCCTCCACCTGGTATCATGTCCCTGAAATGAAATCAGCAACGAAACGGGGAAAAAAAAAAAATCCCAATAACTGATTTCTCTGGTGTATTCTTTCTGCAGCAGACCTTCATGCATCTTGAAGGGATGTGCTTGGAAAGCAAGAAAAATTGGATGGATGAAATTGAGTGGAACAGACAACAGCAAAGAAATCTGGAGGAGTAAAAGCAAAGGATATGAGAAGAATGAAGCTATGAGAATGCTGAGGCTCATCTCTGTCACACCAAAGTTTTTAAAGGTGAAAAGACAGGCATGTGGAGACCAAACATGAAAATCATTACAACAAATCAGATGAAGCTTACACTTAACCTAGTATTTGATCTCCATCAGCAGCTGATTCGAATGCTAAAGGAAAGAATGCAAGAAAATTGTTAAGTATATTTGTGTACTAGTACACCCTTCTAGTTTTTGTCTGTCAGTATTTAGGGTATTTTGGAAAGGAGAGCACTGTAATGAATAGCTTCTCATGGATCGTTTTACCTTCATGAATTTATTGTAGTCCATTTTGAACCAATTAATTTTTTGGCTTGATTATTTTGCATTGATCCAATTCAATTTTTGTGTTTGATTGAGTTTTTTTGGTGGGTTTTTGTTTGTTTGTTTTCTTTCAAAACATCCTTTAGAAGTTCCTGCAGTAGGTTTCAACTTTGAATTCTTATGTTTTATATTCAGGTAGCAACATTATTCCTCAATTGCGTGTAGGACACAAGTGTTATTTTTCATCCCTGATTCACTTTCCCTGTGATATTGTAGGACTAATAGTACCTTCTTTCTTCCCAAGGTGGCCGCTAAGTTGAGTAGATTTAATAGGTGCTTAGTTTCCTACAAGAGCCATATAAGAATTTGGTTTTCATACATGTTATTTCAAACTAAAACACTTTAATCATTTTATATGAACCTATATACAACCATACCTACACAGATGTGTCGATATACACATCTGAACATGTGGATGCATATACACACACATCCCACTTTTTCTGCATATCTTCAAATTACACTTTTGGGAATCTAAGACATATTTTTGATTTGTATTAAATTAAGTATAAAGGTGTAAAAACAAATGGACAAAAATAAATAATAGATACAATCCACTATTTGTTGAAATTTCATATGGATTTACCAAACAATTATTTTAATTTTTATTTTTCTGCATTAAAAGATGTTGGCAGATCATATAGAAGCTGAGAGTTGCTAATTTCTGGCCCCCTCTCCCCCTCCCACCCCAACTTCCCCAGGATAATTGGCTTAAGATATGGCTAGTTTTTTCATCCTTATCCTGATCACTAAAGACACATGCATCTCTTACAAGAACAATGATACGAAAGTCTTTCAAACTCCTCTTCCCAGCTGAATCATCCCATCTTTGTTATTCAGTTTGATTAAGCAATTTATCTCTAAATTACTTTTAATGTAACAGAACCCTTTGAGAAAATGTTTAATATACTTTATCCTTGAAGCTACAGTACTTTCTGATGAAATCAGCAACATTCAAAGATATTCACCTCATTAAAAAATGCTGTGCTATCCTTAAGCAGTATGAAAATTAAAAAAAAAAAAAAAGAATTTCCCTTGCTTAAATGAATGCCGAAACTCCAGATTTCCCTAAGAGTCATAAAATCACACTGTAAATAAACTATAAGAAAGCCCTTTCCTCCATAAGATTCTGCAAAGACAAAATTCCTCAGCTTCATGAGAAACAAAAAAGTATTTTTTTAAAATTGTAACAAATGGTAAAGTAATATTATTCACTATTAATAATTTTCTGATATCAGTTTAAGATTTTTTCAAAACTGAATTATTTTTTAATTATTTAATTCTTATTATTTACACATCAGTCATATCTATTGCATCTTTCATGTCATAAGACTGCGAAGAGAGAAATAAAACCATATGCTTTTGGCCTGCTCTTAATGCTAATTCACTTCAATAAACAAATATTACTTTGCATTTGTAACAAGCTAAAACCATGCAAAAAGTCAGTTATGGCATCCTAATTGATCACTGGTAACTCAATCTCAGTAATATGACTGCTTCTAATTTTATTTTTTTAGTCTAAACTCACTATTTCTTAAAGATGATTTTTCAGTATTTTGTTATTTCACCTTCTCCCTGGTAAGATACCTTCTCAGAATCCTCTCAAGTCCTCAGAGCCAGATGTGCTCCTCCAGTATCCTCAGGTGAAGGCACATTTGACATGCTTATTAGTTGTTAGGTTTGTTTTAGTTTGGTTTTTTGGTGTTGGTGTGTTGTGGTTGGGTGTTTTGTTTTT